TTATATATATATATATATATATATATAAATATTGTTTATATATATATATATATATATATATATATATATATAAAATATTGTTTATATATATATATATATATATATATATATATATATATATAAAAATATTGTTTTATATATATATATATATATATATATATAAAAATATTGTTTTTATATATATATATATATATATATATATATATATATATATATATATATATATAAAAATATTGTTTTTATATATATATATATATTGTTTATATATATATATATATATATATATATATAAAATATTGTTTTTATATATATATATATATAAAATATTGTTTTATATATATATATATATATATATATAAAATATTTTATAAAATATTTTATAAACTGCTACATAAATGTAATCATGTTTCAGCACTCTTGGGGCTTCTTGGACTAAATTTGTTATGTTGTTGCAACTACACATGCACATGAATAAGGGATGCTTGGAATTTTAAAATGGGCAAACAAAACAATGTACTGTTTTGATTTTGCATAACAATATATCAAATATGTTGGTTGCCCACTGTAATGAGTCTGACCCCAATTTTGGCATAAAAGAATCTACTCTGATCAAATAAAAAAACAATGCACTATGACAAAAATGTCTAGAGAGTGCCTTGACTGCAAGGTAATCTACTGTAAATTTGTGCTGTGGCTCTTAAAACATTTCCTCATTCCTGGCAGAACTTCTATTATCACAGTGTGGGATACCTATTAACAAAAGTGTTGTAACTTAGGGAATGTTACTGAATAGAATAATCAAACGATGGTTGGTAATGAATGATGATACTTAGGACAAGAACAACACATACACGGCATATAGAAGTAGTAGTCAACTGCTAGAATGGAGTCAAGTGAATTCCACAATGGATCTGTAACTGCAAACCAACATACAGAATTTACTACTCCATTTATGTCAATGGGGACATACCCATTATTGTCCGTAGGTATGCTACAACAAAAACGAATAAAAAGAAAAAGAATCTAAATGAAATTGGCTACATAAAATAAATTTTTAAATTCCCAGCATTCCTTGTTCATGTGCATGAATATACATTTATTTAAAATGTTTTAAGAGCCAGGGCACCAACATAAGAAATTTAGTCTGATGAAGTCCTAAAGGAGGAAGTGCATCACAACAAAACTTTTTCTGCTTTGTCATACATTTTCCCCAATATTCTTCTTGATAAATAAAATATATATCTTTATCATTTATATATATATATATATATATATATATATATATATATATGATTTATAAAACAGGCATAAATAGAAGCAAATCGTAACAAAAAATATATGTTACCGTAAAATGATAATACTTTGATATGATGATGATTACACATAAATTTCAACTAGATAATTAGTCTGTAATGTTATATTTTTTCATATAGCTTCTTTTCTAGGTTGTATGTTTTTTTAATCATTCTGCATAATATAATGGTTTACCTGTTTTTTTTTTTATTAATTCATTTTTACAAATTGTTAGAAATTGCTTTTTAAGATACCTGGTTTTATCGCTCTAATAAATTTTTGTACCCTTATATAAAAATGTGTGATTATGGGTGTGAAAGAGTAAATAAGGTATAAATAGAAAACATTAATAAATTTACCTGTTTCATTTTATTTAAAGCATGAATCCACTTCTTCCCCCAGCTACTGATTAATTAGTATGACTTCTATCACTAAATCAATATTATTTACAAATAATTCTTACGATCTAAAAATATTTTCTGGCTTTAAATATATATACAGGATGTGAATGGATAGATTTGTCTGATATTATTATAGAACTTTGTTCAAGTAAAGAGCATGTTAGCCTGCATGATAGAGTAGTTATTGTGCAACCTATATATATTTTGTTTATTACTTACAGAAATGCAATTTCCAACTGGACAAATACAGGTACGACAGATAAATTATGCAAAAAATGAAAATAACACTGACATTTCATTTTAACAGATATATTTACCAAAATTACACAAAAATATCTTGAAATACTAAAGAGTAAATTTATACAATAAAATCACCATTAACTTCAACCATGGCTTTCAGACTAATTTGAAATCTCCTACAACTCTTCAGGACATTCTCTTTGTTTAAGTTGGTGAATGCTCCCATAGTCCTGGCCTTCATTTCATATTTGGTGTTACAAGGAGTTTTGGTGGTCTCTAACTCAACTGTGACTCATACAGGGGAGTTAGGTAGCCAGATGTAAGGGGTGATGTAGTTGCAGAAACTCTGACTGTCATGACTGGGTTCTCCTGTTTGTGTGGCATGCTGCAGATTCCTGTTAGCAGACATGGTGTCTTTCAGCAGCAACTCTCTTAACCTTTGGACAGCACTACCTCTGCAAGTTACTTGATGTAGGCCTCCATGTTGAGTCTGAGGCCCTCACCAACAAACTTGGGAGTTCTTTTCTAATTCGAATGATCTGAGTTTTTTTCCGAACTGTATCTGTATCTTCATAACCACCATTAGACTCATCCAACTCTTTCTGAATCCTCTGCATTGTCCTCAGATTGACACCTAAACACTGTGAAATATTCGTATTGGAGCTTTCGGTGCAAATGCTAAACAGTACAGAATGCCGTTTTCAAAACCAAAACCTTTTGTTCCACCAATGAACAACTTACCAATAGACCTAAATGCACTTAAAGTCGCAAAGAAGACTAAAGAAAAAGATAAAATACCTAAAGAACACCTACCTGCTCAGTAAAGTGCTCAATACCTAGATTAACTAGACAGAGCAAAAAATGCTTGACAACATTAATTCCTATCAGAAGATGGCCCTAGTTGTAATCCAAGTTTCACACTCATGTGATCTTTAGATGACGAATGCAAATGAAAGAAAGCGGTGGGCTGCTTTATATAACCTATGACTGTAAACTACAAACCTTAAGATTTTATGAGAATGAAATACCAATTATGATCCTTTCATTCATATATACAGACAAACCTCTCATCAACAGACGAATAGGGGGGATGAGGGGTCCACTGAAGCTGATTGTCTGTAGATGGGAAGGGATTATTTTTTTAGTTATAAAATCACTATAGTAATTACCTGTAGTTATGGTAATGTAAACATGCATATATGGCATAAATAAATATATACTTAATATAGATATATTAATCAAAATAACTAAAATAATAGACTTCTCACAGCTACTTTGTCACTCACACGCCAATGTATCATACTTTATATATTGTACACTCATTTTTGTTTACAATTGGAAAGCCTGCCGCCATTTCCAAGTGGTTACTTTTTTTTTTTAGCGTTTCACCCCAAGCAAGGCGGGAAGCCACTAGGATGCATGGGGTTACAGAAAATTTGGAGCAAGATCAGATAACTCATTCCGCTTAGCTTGCAAATTTTGAAATAAATCACTGACGATTTGGAATTTTTTTCCTGCAGATTTTTTTTGTTTTATTTTGTCTGCAGATTTTGTCAAATTGCATCCAAAGTCCATTGATGGGAAGTGCATAGATGAGAGCTTTGTCTGGATATACAGTAAAACCTTGAATTAACGGTCCTGGAACCAATGATCTCTGGATTTAACTTGAAAACTTTTCAAACTTTATTTAAATGTATATGAAATACACATACATATATATAGTGTATTTACATTTATTTACAATAATTTTGTAGTGTACTAGGTATTTTTAGGACACAAAAAAGTGCTTCAAATTAACGGATGACCCTCCTCACTATTAGTCCATTAAATTGAGGTTCCACTGTATGGGTATATAGATATATATTGGAGACATAAATTTAACAAGTTTCACTTTTATTTAGGCTTCATCAGAGCATGAAATATGGAGGAGAAAAAAATTCTGGTATTTTTTATTTTTGTGTTGTTTGTGTATCATTGATTAAGCAGACCTTATGTATATTTGACCTGTCAAGCAGCATACATGTATATAATCCCACATAGACTAATTAGAATTGGGATACGCATACACACAGGAATTATACACATGGATGCTGCTTGTCAGGACAAATATACATAAGAAAGATAAAGATATACAATGAAAGACAAAGAGTCTCCTACAACACTTCGCTGCACTTGTCTTGGACCAGTGCAGCTACAGAGATTGTTCATACAATGATTCATTTTGTTAGAGTCTAAAGGTGTCCTTGCAGCCTTGTGGGTTATGAATTATTTTCCCCCCCTACAACCACTTTCTCACAGGAGATATTTTGCAAGCCTCTTGCTGCTCTATATACTATTTCCATAGAAAGTGTCCAGATGAAATATGCTTCTTCATTACACCAATTCTAAACTTCACAGCTAAGACCTGCCATGCTGTGCACATTGTAGTGAACCACCATCATTCTCTTCATATTCCATTCATGAGATGTAAGTTCCACTGGAGCAGTTTCTTCTCATGAATTGCTGCATTGTGGGAACTGACACCCAAAAGAATGCTTCCTCAATCACTGCAGTCTTAACCTGTTTATGTCTAGGGTTAACTGTTCTTGTATCTTCTCCCACAACCCCCTATAAAATGTGTCGCTTACTCTGTACCTCAAGTGGCTCTCGGGCCAGTACATGGTGAACATTTTTATAAAAATGTAATAATAATAGTAGCAGTAGTAGTATATTACAGTGAATGCTGGACATTCTCACCACAGATGAAGAAGAAACATTAAGCTATAGATATGTGGTTCTACAGAAGGATGCTGAGAATACCATAGACAGAACATGTGAACAATGAGGAAGTCTTTGATTTATTTTCTATGGCTTATCACCCCTTTGCAGGTTATTTAATTGGAGAATTTATGTTTAGATTATGTTTTTATGAGATAATAAGGATTTAGTAATATAAGTCTTACTAATTCACCCATAGCTGGACGTAGAAGCAATGGACTCATATCTTTTCCAAGGATTTGTGCCTAAGTGAATATAATAAACCCAACTGGAATTGGAACTCTGATTAACAATTCCAAGTCATTATCGATTACAGCACCTGTTATTTCCAAGTGTTCACCCATCTAGGTACTGACCAAGCTCGATGATGCTTAACTTTGGTGATTGTAATGAAACCAGTGTTCCAATGTGATATGGTCATAAGCCCAGGAATTCTTAAGGAAAATAGGAACTACAAGGAGACGTATACTTACAATCAGAAAGAAACTGTTCCTCCATCTTAGAATTTGTTGTTACTGATAAGTTTATCTTAAAGGAATTTTGTTGCTCTCCCTAAGTTGCAGTAAATTGGTAAAAAATGTCCTTTTATTCAAAGTTCCAGAAGTAGGCAAGATCCATACTCCTTAAGCAAAGTTAAAAAAAAAAGGCAAATAAATTTTTTTTTTTTTTTTTCAGCTATTGCTTGTTTGTATAACGCTTGACTTAGGAATGAAAAAGGAGTGCCTGGAGAATTAAATACTCACAAGATATACCAAATGTAAGAGAACCAAGGGAAGCAGCATGTAACCTACTTAATGAATTTGCATGAATGGTAGAACAAGAACAGTGATGGTAAAAAGTTGATAGTTACTTAGTGCAACAGAAAACAGGTAGCCATAATAGCCTATATTCAAAAACATGAAAACAAACTCTCTTGTCTGTAGAATATTCCAAATACAGAAGGTATTTGGTATGAAGATATTTATACTTAAAATCAGAAAGATGCAATTGAAATTTCAGGAGCATATTGAAGAAAGCAGGCTGAGAGAATTTAACACTCACAGGATATGCTGAAGGCAATAGAATCAGAGGAAGCATCAAATAACAAGTTTGTGTAAATGACCAAAGTCAGAATTTTGATAAATAGAAAATATGTAAAAGAAGAGAACAAGGTTATTGCTCAGAGCATATAGTTTTCATCTAAAATTGTGATATGATCCAAAATGACTTTTAAAGTTATCATTACAGCTGTATACTTCTCCTCCTATGTGCTGTGTCCCTTCAGGACATAGATAATCATGCCTCTCCATCGTTTTCTATCTCATGTGGCTGTTAGCAGTTTTTCTCTCTTTCCAACCCTATTCTGCCATCCATTTACACAAGCTCGTTAGGTAAGTAGCTTACTGCCTTCCTCTATCTTTCTTGCTCTCTTCTTTCTACCAAAAAATGTTTGGTTTACCAAACTGGTTAACTGATAGTTTTGGACTCTTACTTATTATAAAACGCAGATTGTGTGTGTGTCTGTACGTTTATATATTGGATCGGATTTCCTACATTTTTCAACCGATTTCAACAAAACTTCACAGGACTACGTAAAATTACCTTGCGGTGGTTCTAACAGCACCAAAAATTGGAAAAACAATTGTTTTTACACGAAATAAATTTGAAAATACGATTAACAGGCATCTTAATGAAACAGGTAGTGTTTCTTATTGTCTTGCACACTTTTTTCTTTATTTTACATTCAGAATGCTTTAAAAATTCCATTTACAAGAAAATTGTTTATAATAAAATTCTATTCACCAATCGATAGACTCATAACGATTGAAAACAATGTTTTTGTTTCAGTTTGGGTTTGGGTTTGACCAATTCATAAAAAAAAAAAAAACTAATTAAGACATGCGTGTCCGTCAACCTTAAACAATAATCTTTGTCAATTTTATTTTTCAGTCTTTATGATGGTCGATAATTGATCTCTTACTGTTATATCCCCAGGCAACGCCGGGCTCTACTGCTAGTTCTTAATGTTTTAAGATGTGCGTTGTGGTGTCTTGGTAAAATACAAAAATCCAGTTTCTATGCGTGCGGTGGAGTAATGGATAGCGGCTTGGATTGAGGAATCGGAGAGCCGAGTTCGAATTGCAGTTATTCATTACGTTCGCTTAAGTGGTAAAGGTATGAATCCTCTTCTTCTCCTCTCCCAGCTATGGGTAAATAGCAGGACAGACCGGGTTCTATAGCCTTGAATGGTAACTGATCTACCGCAGAAAGAAATGGCAGCCTACTTCAGAAAAAAAACTGCCTCCTCAGTCATGTATCGAAAGATACATGTTCGCTAGGCATTTATCATGCATGGCATATAACTAACTGATGGGTGTGCACTGTATATTCTAAGGAAAATTTAGAAACGTAGTAAGAGTGAAAGGAGCTGATCTACACTGAAAGTCAGCTTTAGAAATCCGCTTGAAATTTAGCAGAGGCCAAAAAATAAATGCATGCATCGTTGGGTTGGGTGATAATGATTTTTCTTATACTCTGCATAACAAGTGTCGGTGAACTTTTTGAGCTTTCAAACCAAATCACATATTAATGAGTGAAGTGTGAGTTTTTCAAGCCCTCCTTCTTTATTATGTGTCTGAGGAATTTCCTCACTCCTGGTAATTTCTAAATTGGCTCAAAAAGTAGTTGTTTTGCACTTTAAATAAGAGAAAATTGTTATACAGTGTTAAAAAAAAAATGAGACATGATTTTTCATTAGATATTTTATTATGACAAAAAGAAAAAAAGCATTTTATAATTAAATTTTGCTCTTATCAAACTAGCCTCCTTTAGCTATTACTGCAGCACAAATTTTTTGCATCCGTTACAAAAGTTTCTTAAAGTCTAATTTTCAAAATTGATTCCATTCTTTTTTCAGTGACTCTAAGAGCTATTTTTCATATCTTTTTCACTCCCCTGTCAAGCTCATCCCATGTTAATTCTGGGGGTGGCTTCAATCTTTCGAACTGTAGTGTACGTACATATATACATACATTGCTTTTGGCTTTTATTGAAACAGGATTGGAATTAATCTCACACAAAGCAGGGTGGGCTGCCTTACTGAGGATTTATCATAATGATTTGGGGCAAGGTTTTACAAGGATGGCTGCTCTTGCTGACATCCAATTCATACACTCACAGTAGCCCAAGTACACCAAGTGTTTTTACTGAGCCACCATTTGGTGCTCCTGCTATATATTTAAAGATCTGTGATAAAATTCAAAGAAGAAACTGCAATGTTATTGGTCCTGAGCTGGCATCTCAGCTTCATTCACTTACTCACCACCATAATGTAACTTCCTTATTTTGCCTTTTCTATAGATACTTTCAAGATAGTTGTTCTGCTGAACTCTCATCTATGGCATCTAGACTATGAATTTAAACACAGTACTAGATTGGCATTTGTTGCAAAAGTTTCTCAAAGAATACGTTTCATAATTGATCCCATTCTTTTTTTAATGACTCTTAGAGTTTTTTTTCCATTTTTGGGGATGGAAAGGTTTCACTCTTCTGTCAAGTTCATCCCATGCTAATTCTGGGGTGTGGCTTCAAACTTTTGAAATGTAGTTTATATGTATCGATTCTGTTGGATGTAAGCATATTGTTACAATTAAAATATATTTAGATATTAAGCTGCATTAATATTAATGCCTGTAGAATTAATGAAAATTCAAAGAAATCATTTGAAGCCTCCAGTATTTTTCTTGAAGTCAAACTATTGCATACTTTCAATATCTTTTTTTACCTCCATTACAAAAAAAATTTCCCTTAATGCCAAAATACTGATAAAACTGCTATCCTATTATTAAAATAAACAGGAAAAGATCTTTGCAATTTTGAAGCATGCTAAATTTCCAGTTAACTCGGGCCTAAAACTTGGTTTTTGAGCCAGCAATACTGGCATAGAAAAGTGATTCTATGAATATTATCCATTGTCCCTGATTTATATAAATGCAAAATTATTCAATAAATCAAAAAAAGTTCAAGTGATTTGTCTGGTTGACTCACTGAAGAGTTTTATATTGAAATGATCATCAAGGCCAGGTGTTTGATAAATCTGTTGAACTTATTATCAGAACTTATATTTATACTCTTTCGGAGTGAACAAACATTAATTCTGATTTTCATATAATCATGAAATCAAATAAGTTGAATAGATTTATCAAACATCTGTACCTAATGAGCATTCTGATGCAAAACTTTTGAGACATATAACCAGATAAATCACTTAAACTTTTCTTGACTTATTAAACTTTATAGATCTAGTTATAAATTAAGCACGTTTTGGCAAAGTTTCTGGTAAATGGAAAAAACCATGTTAAATTCTTTTAGTTTTCACATATTTTTCAGTTGTTTTTTTCATTCTTCTTCTATGTGCTGTGTCTCTTCAGGATGCAAGCAATCATGGCTCTTCACAAATTCTTGTCCTTTGTAGCTCTTAATAAAATTTGTCACTTTGCTATATCTCCTAAACTTTGTTCCACCATCCATTTACTAGGTAGGTTATGCTTTTTCTTCTCTCTTGTCTTCAATCTGTCCTGAGTGTATCAAATTTTCCAAATCTCTTTTTGTCATTATGTGCCCGAGAAATTTCAACTATTTCTTTCTGACGTTAAGTGTCCTAATGAGCATTTCATTGCCAAAATCTTGAGTCAGCTAATCAGGTTATCATTATAGCTCGAGTTATCAGTTAAGCACATTTTGGCAGAAACATATTAAATTCTCATAATTTTTACATATTTTTCAATTGTCTTATCATTATTATTATTAAATACAAAAATATGCAAAAGTGTTACTTACTATTGTTTTCTCAATACAGGACCCATGAGCCACTCAAGGTAGAGGGATACTATGGGTATTAGAAGTATAGGGCTGAAGTAGAATTTAGAAGGAGCAGGAAACAAGGGATAAACCTCTACTTTTGTTCAAGAGGCTGGGGAGGCGTGTGAATGGATGATAGGGGAACCTATCTCCTCCAATTTCTATCGCTTTCATGCATGCATACAAACTGGCACGGTAATGATGATCTACAAAGTCTATATATCAAATTAATAGTGGGTTGTTAAATAACAAAATAGGGAAAATTCCACATTTGGTGTTGTGTTCTTATTTAATCTGAAGAAGTCCTTTCAAAGGATGAAGCACATTTTTTCCATTTTGTCATGTGTATAGTATAATATTCTTATTCTTTTATAGGGCATGTACCTTCAGGCCATTGGCGCTCATGGCTCTCCACAACTTCCTGTTCCTTGTAGATTTAATTAATATTTGACACTTTACCATCATTTATGTATAACCATGCAACCAGATAGTGAGACCTCTCCAAGACCATCCTACAATGTATGGTACAAGGAAGGAGCAGATATGCCAAAGAAAGAGATGGATGGACAATGCTGTTAAATAGA